CAATGGCCTTTCACCCCTCGGTGGCCTCCAGAGGTATCTGCAGCCCCCTGAATGGGACTGTAGGATCTCACTGGGAGAACTACATCAGTGCAGAGCCTGGGGGATGCCAACTCATCCTGTGTTCAGTGCATCTCTCACTTTCTGTGCCTCCGTATGTCTGGGGGGACTGGACCCCACACACAAATGGCTGTTGCCCTGCATCACCCTCAGCTGGGATCATTGTGGCTCTTCCTTATTCCCCCAGGTCCTAGGTCAGTTGGTTGCTTGCCTCTAGGTTTTATGACTCAACAGCCCCAATACTGCCTTGCTCGTGCTCAGCACTGCATCCATCGCTCTACACTGCCACCTCACTTATTCCTTCTCCTCTGATCCCCCTCTCCGTATGTTGTCCTCCAGTCCCTCCCCAGCTTTTCTTGCTTTCCATGCAGAGCCAAGCTGGGTCATTTCTCCTGTTGGCAGTGAACATTTGGTCCAGTATGACTGAAATGTTCAATGGTATCTTTGACAAATAATGTCACCCTTGGAGACTGAAGCAATCCAGTGCCAGAGAAATCATTTCTGCTAAACAGCAGAGAGGTGCAAGCCACATTCAAAGACTGTCCTGTGGGCTGCTAAACCTCCAGGAGGATAGAACTTGGAACAGAAGGGCCTTTGTGTGAACAGGATGGCTTTTGTTCACAACACTCCAAGTGCCCATTGCTCATACAGCGCCACAGTGCAAGCCCCAAACCCAAGCCAACTCCTTGAGTCAAAACAGTGCATTTTGGATCTGGTTCTGCCTTCTCCCCCCTAAACGACTTTGTTCCTCTCAGCGAATTGACCTCCCACACAGCATCCTGCCACCATCATAAGGCATGTAAGAGATGCTGACTTGTCAACACCTGTCCTCTGCTGCTGCTCCGTGGAGACAAATCTCCCCTACCGCCTTGGTAGGTGTATCCCTGTTTCTCCTGGCAACCCATGTTCCTCCCATGGAGACAGCCCCCTCACACCTTTCCTCTGCTCTGCTCTCTCCCTAACGTGTGGGGCTAGAGCCCCTCAAACATCTCTGAGCATGGAAAAATCCCCCTAAGTTGCTGCCCCAGATCCCCCAGGCCTTCTCCTCCTCCACCTCTACACTCCCACTCACTGCCTTCTGTCCCACTTGCTCAGCAGTGTCCTGTGTCCAGGTTCCTCATGATGATTTCAAGGCCATGCTCAAGCTTCATCTTTGATCTTTCCCCTGGTCTCCATGCTTCCAGCCGCACTGGCATAGAGAGCTGGTCCTTCTGAGCTTCAATGATGTCCTCCCCTGGTTTTCTGCCTGCCTTTGTTGTCTTTTCTTCTCTGCCTCTTCTTTATGCCCGCCTCCCTCTTCTGCTGGATGCCCACAGCATCCTGTCCTTCAGCCCTTTCCGTTCTCCTTTCACACATTATCTCTGGGTAATCTCCACCACCCACTGACTCCAACCGCTATCTCTATGGTGACTCTCGGATCCACCGTGCTGTGCCAGACTCAGCTTTTCCTTTCAGGAGAAATCAGCAGCCTGGCTGATGGTTCCTGGTGCAGGTCTAACCCATCAGCCCGGTTTCAACACCATCACAGCAGAGTTCATCCCCTCCCACCAAAGCTTCCCCCATCTCTCTCAAGCAGACAAGACCTCCATGCCGCACTGCTCTGCACCACCTTGAGCTTACCTTCCTTGTTCCAGCTATGCCTGAATCCCACCCATCCTCTCCATCCACTGCTTCCAGATAAAGCCTTTTATGTTAATTCCTTCAGCCAAAATACTTGTCTGGGCTCAAGTACGTTGCCTTTTGATTAGTGCTATGCTCTTCCCTCTGGCCTGACAACAGCAGCCATGTTGATGAATACTCATCACACTGGCTCCTGGAAAGATTATGTCCCCTTTGCCTTGAACATATCACCTCCTCCCATGTCTCTTTGATTCTCCTCCCTTTATCACCAGGAATGGGAGCCATTTGTCTCCACTTGGAAAAGCCTCTATGGCCATCTGTGCTGTTCCTGCTAGTGTGCAAGTCCCCTTCTGACTCCTGTACACCTGAGAAGTGAGGTTGGGGCTGGGTTTGCAAACCCCCCCAGATGCCCTTCATTCCCACTATTCCTTTATCCCACCATCACATTCCTCCACATAGGCTTTACTGGCTTGCTAACTAAAAAGACAGCAGGGGAGCATGCCAGCCTGCCAGGGCTCCTTTCCATTGCCCTGGGCACTGCACCTGGCTGTAGACTTCTTAGGACACCAAGTGGCTTTTCTGAGGAGCACACATACACTCATGGGAAAATCAGCACTAAATAGCATCATTCATGCCTTCATCTTCATTTCCTTTCAGCTGGGGCTGACATAAGGCCCGGGAGGGCTGTCGAATAGGCAGGGTGATGGAAAAGGCACTGGCCCCTCAAAGCCTAAAGATTCAAGAGGGACTGGTCCTGCCACTGGGATCCAGAAGCCTCCTTGCCTTAGAGATGAAATGCACTTCTCCTCTGCAGCAATGTGCTGCCTTTCAAAGTAAGCCATTCACCCAGCTTGTGCTCTCTTTTACCCCCATGCCTCTGGGCCTCAGTCTCCACCATTGACAAATAACCTGCCAAATTTCAGTTTAAGAAGAAAAACCATTTGGAAGCTGACAGGCATTTAGAGAGAGGGTTTGGAAGCATGCGGGCAGCCTTCATCACCCTGCAAAGGGAGCCAGGCACCCTTGAAACTTGGGACAGGAAAATGCCTGGGTTGGGAAAGACTTTAGAGGGTGGAGAGAGCACTGTGGGGCTCGTTGTTCTTCTCTACTTGGTCATTTCCCCTTAGGGATGAACTGAATGGTCAATTCTGTATTCAAGGCTGCGAAGACAGCTGCACTTTTGCTGAATCTGCTACAGGAAGGGAAAAAAACAAATCTCTATATTTCCATTTTCTGTAGAGAATGAAGCCTCTTCCCCAGAAAGCCAAGCTCTTCATTTGCAAAAGCACCAGGGCAAAGTGATGGGAAGATAACCACGATAGCTGCCCATAGCACCTTGTGCTCACCCCTCAGGCCTGACCCTGAAGCCTCTAACAGAGGGTACAGAGGCTGCAGCCTTATTTCTATAGCAAGGAGCAGGGCTTGGCTCTCCGAGCACCCCAGTTCCCCATGGGGCAGCCCTGCTCAGGCCTCCCAGAGCAGCAAGGTCCATGAATTAGCCATCAATCACCTCTGGAGCCGAAGAACTGCCCAAGGCCACACTGTGAATCACATGGCACCGTGAGTCCAAGAGGTCAACTCAATGTGTTGCATGGACCCATCTGCTCAGTGTACTTAATACCTTGAAGGGGCATCTGAATGGAGGGGCTCTTTCCCCACACAGGTTCCCCAGCTCTCCCCAGGCGAGAATGATGAGGGTCAGGCAGGATGGGCAGGGGAATGTCTTCCACCCTGTAGGACCAAAGCATTCTAAGAAGATCCGAGGAAGTGTGAGGAGCAAGCACAATCGCCTGCAGCCCAGTGTTGGCTGCCAGGCCTGGCAAGCTCACCCCCAGCCCATGGCAAGCTGGTGCCTAGGAATGCACACATGCAATGGGATGACCAAAAGCCATGGGCAAAAGAGAAGTGAACGGCTGAGCCTAATTTGTGCAAGGTTGTAAATCACTGTGGCAGATGGGCAGTGGATTATTTTCCAGAGGGTTAAGCAAGACCCAGATTAGGAAAAGCTGGGAAATTTTGGTGGGGTGTGCAAGATATTGTCCTGGGGCACAGGACACATGGACCCCAGTGCTTTTTCTGGGGGGGGTCCTGGCTGTGCGGAGGTTGTGGAGGAGCCCTGTGTGAGGATGGCAAAGCTGGGAGGCTGTAAGGGCAGGTGTGGGGCAAAGCACACAAACTGTGCCCTGGGTTGGCTATATGGGCAAAAGGTGCCCCCGATCTTTACATATCCTTAAATCCAAGCTCCTGGTGGAGTGGGTGATGACCCTCAGGCTGGTGTCAGCCCTGACTTGGAGAAGGAGGACATTTCAGTTTCACAGGGGAGCCTTGATGTTGCTCTGGCCCTGCGTGGGGCCGTGCCCACTGCCTGCCTTCCCCTGGCTTCAGTTTGTCCCTGCCGCCCTCACAGCACCCCTGGGTGCTGGGCTGGATGGAGGGTGCTGTGCCGGCCCCTCTCCGCTCCCTGCCCTGATTTCCTTATGGAAATCCCAGAGTCTGTTCCAGATCCAGCTCTGGTTTTGGGGGCAGCCATCTCCCTCTCCTTCTCTTTCCTCTTCCCTCCTTCTGCTCTCCTTCCTCCTCCTCTCTCTCCCTCCTCTCCGCACTGTACTCTCCGGGGGCTCTGGGTACCGCTGCAGCATCACTAGCCACCTCCATCCAGGAGGCTGGGAGAGCGGGGCGGAAGGGGAGGGCTGCGGGGGACAAGCTGAATGAATGGGCATCGCCTCGGTGCTGCTGGAGCCTCCGCATAGGGGCGAGGCGGCCGGACCGCGCCGCGGGCAGGGGGGCAGCGGCGGCCGGCCAGCGGCCGGGGCCGGGCCGAGCCGAGCCGGGCCCCCCGCCGAGCCGCCGCCGGGGCGCTGCGAGGAGCGGGCGCTGCCCCGACGCGGGACCGCTCCGGCCCGGGGGCCGCCTCCTGCCGCCGCGGACCGAGGTGAGCGGGGGGCTGCGGGAGGCTGCGGGGGGCGGCGTGGAGCCGGGTAGGGCTGGACGGTGCGGGACCGGGCTGGACGGTGCGGGAAACGGGCTGGATGGTGCAGGGGCTGGGCGCCAAAGAGTTAAGTGGCTGCGGAGCAACCGGGCTCAGACCGTGTGTGTGTGTGTGTGTGTGTGTGTGTGTGATCCCGCACCCACGGGGGGGCGTGGCCCATGGCACCCCACGGGTGTCCGTGCGCGGTGGGCGGCCGGTACCGGTCGCAGCGGTCTGGGTCTCCCCGGCCGCGCAGGGTGGGTGCGGGCACCACAGCGAAGCCTTGTCCCGCGGGGAGCGACACCGCGCTCCGTGTGCGTGGCGTGTGCCAGAGCCCGCGGCGGAGCGTGTGTGCGGTGTGCGGGCTCCACTGCGGGGTGTCCGTGTGCGGGGCTGAGCGTGTCCGTGGCAGCCGCATTGAGCCCGTGTGAGGGAGCAGCCCCAGCCCGAGCGTGCGGGTGCGCGCCGCGCGTCCACGCGTGTGTACCGGTAGGTGATGTGTGCGCGCTGCGGGGGGGGGGGGGGGTATCGGGGTCTATGGGGGTGTGCGGAGGGAGCGGGCACGTGCGGGGAGGTGCGTGGAGTCTGTGAGCACAAGCGTGCCGGGGCTGCCGCTGCCTCCGCGGGATCCTGGCCCCCGGGAGAGGGGCTGCGGCTCCCCCCGCCCGCCCCTGCCTGTCTGCACCATCCCGCTCTGGGCGCCCCGTCCCTCCCCGCAGGTCCCCTCGCCCCTTCTCGGACCCCGACCCGGAGCCTGCCCCGAGGCCGGAAGGGCGGGCAGAGCCTCACCCCCGCTAGGTTTTGGCTTTCCCTGTGTTAAGATGCTCCTGCTTGCTCCGGATCCCGCAGAGGCAGAGGGGCTCAGCCGGCAGCGGCTGGCGGGGCAGGGCCGGGCCCTTTGCTCCCCTGGGGATGACCCCAGGTGGGTCCCTGCGTGCCCCTCAAGTTCTGGTGGGGTTCCTGCATGCCCCTCAGGCCGTGGCAATGGCGTGGATCAGCTCCAACACAGTGATCTGGTCATTATACTCATATTAGACTTTTGGAGGGGCAGACAAGTGTCGCCCCCACATGCTGGTCCCCTTCTACGACAGAGATGCCACATAACAAACTCTCCTACGGGCCTTTGCCATGACGTGAGGTGAGGAATCTCCAGTCCAGGATGAGGCCCAGGCAAGAGCAGGATTTAGAGCCTTGATGCCATCATTGCGATCGGAGTGTGGCACCGACATGTGAGGATGTGAGCCTTGGTGACCGTCCTGACACCGTGCCACCATCCTGGTGTAGGGCCAGCACCTGCTGCACCGGGAGCAGACGTGCCTGTGCTGATGCACGGGGCTGGCAGCCCACAGGACCTGGGCATCTTGGAGCGCTTCCTGCAAAATGGACTCTCGGAGCCTCGTGAATCCGCCTCTGACGGCTTCTCCTCTGAGGAAGCGCAAGGCAGAGCCAGCCCTGAGGCTTCCTGCAGGAAGCTAACGCCTGGTCAGAGCCACCACTCCTGCTCTTGAGACATGGGGCTGCTTCTTACGCTGGCAGGAAAATGGGGCTTTTCCAAATCCGGGCTCGGCAGCTGGTGTGTGCAAGCCCAGTTCTGATCTCTGCAGCAGCTCTGCTTCCTCGCTCCTCTCGGTGTACATGATGTACCGGTACAGTTTGAAGCACGGCTGCGAGTGGTGGAGGAATAGAGCAGCTCAAAGGGAAGCTGCCACGCTGCAGCAGGAGACTTCTGCACCTTTTTACTCCCTCGCACCAGTCCAATGGTGCCAGGCTGGATTTTACCCTTGGAGCATAAACACCTGGCAAGGCAGAAAGAAATGTGACTTGAGTAAACATCAGCAGTAACTGGAGACCCGCTTTGAAATTGGTTTGATACCTGCATGCCTTCCAGGCAAGCTTTTCTGATGTTAACCATTGTGCATCTTTGCATGAAAAATGAGGCTTTATTTTCAGCCTGGGTAATAGCAGCGCAGCATGGGTAGAAATGAACACGCTGTGTCCCCTCTAATCTGTCCACAATCAGGCTTCTCCCAAGCACTGAACCGCTACTGCCGTCGTCAGAGATGAATAGTCCTGGATCCAGATGGCAGCCTGCTTCCCTCGGTGCCCACATCGTCCCTTCGCCATCCGCAGAGGAGGGGAGCAGCCAGTGAGAAAGTGTCCCTGGGAGGACCCCTGTGCCACCGCAGCCACCTGCGTCCCTGGGTTTGCTGCCCATGGCTCGGGCCGAAGTCATCAGCTTGTGCCTATCATCAGCTGCAGGCAAGGCAGCTCCTGGTTGCCAGAAGCTGCTCTGAGCTCCCGTTCGCTTCTGGAGAGGGTTCAAGGTGCTGATTTGGAGCTCGGAGCTCGGCATGGATTCACTTCTCACCATCTTCCAGTCTGGATCCATCGTGCCCGGGGCTGGAGCCGCAGCTGGCCAAGTGCTCTGGCCAGCCCTGCCTGGGGCTGGAGGCAGCGGGCAGCCCCTTGCTGCAGCTCCACAGCCCCGAGCAGCCTGGTTTTGGTCTCCTGGAGCATGGTGAGGTGTGCTGAGTCACCTTAAGTCAGGCCAAGACATCACCCACCCTTCCCATGAGGAGGCTGTGTTTGAGGAGAGGACTCGTCGTGCTTACTGAAAGCAAAGGGGTTGCAGGAGGATCGCAGACGTAGCTGGGATGATGGGAGGGAGTTGTTTTGAGCATGGAGCCTGCTTGTTTATTCTTCAGTTTGGAGGGGTGTTTTTAGGCTTGTGATGGAATAAATGGAAGTGAAGATTCAGTTCCTCTGCTTGGGGATCTGGGGGAAGCCCTGGGCAGGAGCTGTTGTCTGTTGTTGCAGAAAGCTGGCTATGTGACAGCAAAGCTTTGTTGAGATTTGCACCAACCTCTTTCATCTTGGACTTGGTGTGTCCTGCTGTTTATGGCATAAAAATGATGATGCTTTGCAGAAGATATTTGTATTTCACACTTTGTTTCTGCTTACATGTCTTGTTTGGAGCTAGACTGGCTTCCCCTGTGGGTAGTGTCTTTGGCTCCAAGGACTGTGCGACTATTAGTAGAGTTTCCAGTGGGCTCCTTGTGTGACCTGGTGTTATGGTTTTCTGTGCACAAGAGAAAGGGATTCCTGAGCCCTTTTTTTGCTCACAGAGACATTACATACGGAAAACCTATGAACCCTAATGTGCCGGCTTTAGTTTTGCTCATGCAGGCTCTTACAGTTGTCAATGGCTGGCTGGTGGGTTTGGACCACAGGCTGTCGGGAAAATTGCCTTTCCTAAGAGCTTTCCCTGAACGAGGCCTGGCTCTCTGCAGCTCTTTGCAAAGCTTTCCAGCCTTTTGAAGGAAGCGCTTTACAACTTCCAGAGCTGTCATGGGTTTATGCCCTCCGGGGATGGGTTGTGACAAGCAGCTACAAACCTGCGCTCTGCTGCCTGCAGGATGCTGTAGGTGTCCCCTGGCTCTGGCTTCTGCATCCCCCAGGAGCGTGGACCCTTCTGCGTACCTCTTGGGTGACTCTCACATTGAGGGACCCTATTCCTTCAACTGCCTTTGGGTTTAGTCCACTTTTATCTCGTGTGCTGTCCATGGACCAGTCGGTGAGGATTTGGAGGAGCTCCCTCTGCAAGAGAGACCCAGGAGCTTTGAAGAACAGTGTTGACACTCGTATGTGGGCAGAGCTCTGGCTGTGAGCAGGGAAGTTAGGTGGCAGCTTGGTGTATGCGTAAAACATGTACAAGGCAGGAGTATTAAACCTACTCAGCAGTGGCTTAAGTCTGTGCTTAAGGAGGAGCAGCCCGAGACCCATGCCAAGTGTTACGGAAGTCCTCATACGTGAAGTATTTAACATCCAAATCCCTCAGTCATTTGTCTCAATGTGGCTTTGCAGGACAGGTGCCACCCACATGATTTTCTTTGCGTGATGACAAATGTGTGACAGCACCGTGGCTCCAGCCATTGCCCTCACTGCACAGCACTGCGATGGCTGGTAGCATGGGTGGGGTGCTGGAAACCTCTCCCCGCCTCTTCCTCTCCAATTGCCATCAGCCTTAGATGTGCCAGGGTATTTTCTTCATCCACATTGTGTCAGCGCCTTGGTGAAGGAGCAGGGCTGGAAACAGGTCATTGATTTCTTACGTTTGGCGCCCAGGATGGTGGCCAGGGCTTTGGAAGGAAGCAGCTTCCCTCTGTGCTGTGTGTGCTGGGAAGGAGGTGCAGCGAATGTCCCTGCGGTGTTTCAGGCTTGTGCCCTGAGGAGCAGGTTGGCACCTCCTCTCGGGTTAGACACCCCCTGCACCTGGGGTGCCCCGTGAGAAGGACAGAGATGGGCTGGCTGTGTGTGTCAGGCTGGTTTGAGTCACAACCAAGTCCTCGGCTGCAGCTGCAGGGAGCCTCACAGTTTGCTTTGGAAATATCCTCTGCGTGCGAACGCTTCCCACCTTCTTCTTACCTCCATCCTCCCCCTGGTTCAGCGTCATTCCCTCTGGTGTCTCCAGGGCTTATGCAGCTCTAACCCCATTCCCACTGACCATGGTTCCCCCTAACCCTTAGCTCTTCTCTGGGACAGCCCTGCTGTACCGTGTCCTCCTGTCCTTCACCCTCAGGCAGCTGCTGGCTCCAGTGATGGTGATGGTCATGCCTTCCCTGGGGTGCTGTTGGGGCCAGCACTGGGGTGGGCAAGGGCCACGTCCTCCTGCTCCATCAGCAGAGCAGACCCCATGAGGTATTTATAGGCTCAGTGATGTTATTCCCCTGTCAAACTATTACTGAAATAGGCTCGGTGTGTGTCATAGGAGAGAGGATTTTAATGGCACGGTTTCTTTGCTGCGGGAATGAAGTTGATGCTCCCTCACCATTTCCCTCGTCCGATTAATCATTCCCATGGTGGAGAGGCATGAGGGGATGGATGCCTGCTCCAGCAGCTCGAATGGGGGCTCATGGACTAGGGTGGGTCCTTGAGACAGGCACCCCAACCAGGCCTGTGCCCATAGGGACCTGGTGCCTTGCACCCACACTTGCCTGGACCTTAACTTCAAGGGAGCTCTGAACCTGGTGGGAGCAACCCAGACCCTGGGGAGCCTGCTGGGGCAGGTGTGCCAAGGCAGCCGGGACTGAGGGCTGGTGCTGAGACTGAGCAGACCCAGTTTAAGGGGCAAGGTCCCTTTCCCAGTGATTTCTCTGTTCGGAACAATTTGCTGAATGATCAGGAAAGGTCAGTTTGTCATTTTCTAAATAACCCCCCCTCCTTCAGACTCAGCTGGACACTGCTGCTGGGTCGGGAGGAGGTCAAAGTCCAGTGAATCCTTTTAGCAGTGTCTTGAAGCATTTCAGCTGGCTGAAGAGCAAAGGATCTCTCAGCCTGTCAGTTCATAAACACTGGCGCGATTCCCTGTCTAGTCGCTGCTTGCTGGGGGAGAATGTCTCTGGGGTGGGAAAACCAGTTTTGTGCCAGGCATGGATTTGGGTTGTGCTTTCTGGGCAGCACACTGAATGCGCTGCAGGCTGGAGGTGCAT